GCACATGACCTGTGCCTTCGCAACAAGTAGGAAAACGACCCACGTCAGTTCAGGGTCTCGCATTTCCCGTCCCTCTATGCAATGAAGTCGGCTGCCTGCACTTAGGGCTCTTCTGAGCGCAGACCCTCCTGCCTCTTAGAAGTTACCTGTCTCCAGAGCCGGCTTCACGCACCCGCACGGGGTCGCTGCGGGGCGAGGCCCGGGCTCTTCCAAGCTGCGCATGGTTACTGGTCACACAGGTGCCCACCCAACGCGTTCAAGCCTTCCGCTTCCGGTCTCCATGCCTGGCGCCTGCGCAGGAGCGCGCCGGCGGGTGGCGCCAAGAGCTAGCACTCGCGCAGGAAGGGGGCGCGCGCGGGGGGCGGGGCCGGAGGCCGCCGCAAGTTTGCGGTTAAGGGCTTGGGGGCCTCATCGCGGGTAATCCGCTGCAATTTCCCGCCCTTCCAGGGCAGCCAGCGACTCTGTGTTACCCGTTTATCCAAGAGGGACATGTCGATGAAGATTTGTGCGTAAGGATATCTCGAAATAATAAGCAACCTACATATACAACGCATGATGCTAATTCTTTAAGAAAAAGAATGTGTATAACTATCACACAGCAAGATGATCGGATGTTGGAAACTCTGTTCATTGTTCTTGGGTGGTGGGAATACATAGATGGTCATTTACACTTGTCTATATGCTCCCACTTTTCCATAATAAAAACGATATTTTGTCAGAAAAGAATCCCAAGTAACTCTTATTTCAAATCTAATAGATGGGTAGCCCCACACCATATTAGGGGTTAAGAAGTAGGGACTGGTCCTTGTGCTCCAGATCTCACGAGAACTGAAGCGAGAATGAAATTGAGTCAACTTGCCATATACATTAAGGAGATTGTAGTCATTGCTTCTGGGCAGCTCTAAAAAGTTGAGGGCCAACAAGGACCGTTATTCATCCCATATGATGACCAGTTACCCCTGGACCGATAGCCTGGCCTTTTACCCACTTGTAATGTCATCTCTCATCTGTATATTTCTCTGTATACATTATTCTACTTCTGAGTTTTTATACTGTTGTTTCATGGGAGGGCAGGGGGACTGCAAGGAGACATATTGCCTGCGAGATAAATTATTCAAAACCATACATATCCGCGGATTTAAAAA